TATTGTATTAAAAAAAAATTACTGTTTGAACCTTTGATATTAGGTTCGTTTCATGATACTCCTGAGTTATGGTCATCTTAACATTTAAGTTTTATCCGTTGGTTTATAAAACCTGTACTTGGTAATTACTAAATACAATATGTACTCAATGGTATCATGCAGGTACTTTAAAAATGTCAACTTATCTTGCAAGTAATAATATATAGTTAGGTATGTAATAATGTAATAAAATTTAAAATTATATTTTGTTAAAATATATGCTAGGAATCTAGGACCTAGATAAATATTGCAATTTTAATTATATTATTAATATGATCTGTGTGTTTATTTTAACAGTTCTTCACGTTTTTTCTGAAGCTCTTTAATAGTATTTTCTCTAGTCATTATATCGCGTTTTTCGATGTTGATTTGTTTTTTCAATCTATCTATTTGTTCTTCGATTTGAACTAGCACTCGACTGTACGTTCGTTCCTTTTCCAATATTTCATTTCTCTGTTCGGCTAATTGTTCTGCTAATTGATTATTCTTTTTCGTTGTTGACTTATTAAAACAAAAATAAATTATTATAATGATTATCTACTACAAGACTGGAACCTACAATTGGTTTTTAAATAAATTACTTTTAATTTTTGTTGTGACATGTTTATCTCGTTTAAAATAACTGTTATGAATGATTCTGACGATTCATCAGCAGAATTTTCAACCGCACACAAACTATCTTTAAAAGTCTTTTCTTTGTTATAAGCATCGATAACTTCTTGGGCCGCATGCCATTCCCAATGTGCCTCTTTGTACTTTATCATGTTTGACATAATAGAAGCTCCAAGATCATCGAACATTTCATCTAATATCTTACAATATTTACCAGAGATACTGTTCAATATTTTTTTCTTTTGGTGCATTAACACCGTCAAATATCTTAAAAATATGTAACAGACAATAGTATAAGTTATTAATGTTTTTTTTTATTAAATTTAAATATAAGTTAAAACATAATAGTATGTTACTTCAACAACTTCGTAAGTAATTCAGATATGTTACAGAAATATTAACGCTTTATAACTTAGGTAGGGGTAACCGGGGTAGTTCCGTACGAGAGGCATTACCGTAGGATGAAATATCTGAACAATGATTGAAGGTAGAAAAAAAATCATTGATGATTATTTTTCTATGACTGTATGTTTTTAGTTATTGATGTAACTATTAACCTCATTTGTAATTAATTCCTGCTGAAATTCCTGTTATCGCAAAATATGTATAGTCACTATTTTTTTTTCATATATTGTTTTTAAAAATTGCTAACTTAACTTTGTCTGATGTAAAAAAAGTGCATCAAATTACGAAAAAGGAAGTATAGATTATTTAATGATATAATTTTAAGGAATATTGCTTATACTTTTTAGTTAATTGCTGTTGATTTGAAACCACCTACTGTGGGGCAAGAACGTATGTATTCAGAATCGCCTCAATGTGTTATAATTTACTTTATARCTTTTTATTAAATATAGTTTGTAATTATGTGCTCAAAACAAATCGTCAATAGTGGATTATCGGAGGAGGGAAGGTGGGTCAAAATATTTTAACCAATAATACATAAAAAATACGTATATAAATATATACCTACTTTAAAAATGTAGGGAGGCTTGGACCCTTCTAATCCTTTGAATACGGACTCGAGGGTGRGGGGATATTAAAATATATTACAAAGTGCGACTATATTCACTGATTATATATATTTTTAGTATTTTAGATCATAAAACCGTCTGAACGGTTTTGCCTCAAGKCTAATACAGTTTTACCCCACCTATGGGGCAAAATCGTTTATTTTAGTATTTTCAAAATTTGATTTTTTAGGTTCAACTTAAGATTTTTTTTAAATGTGTAAATATTATCGAAGATGACAATATTTGAGATATAATTACATAATCCAATTTCAAATTCATAAAATATTGCAAGTTCTACAACGCTTAGAAGTTATAATAGTACGGTAATGCCTCGCTCTCCCCTATAATTTTATCGGTACGTTTGTCAAAAATCAAATTCSATTTAACACAATAATTATTATTAATTAATATAATATCTTACATATATTATGGTAAAAAATTATAATCGTGTATTAAGGTTTTTATCGCATATTATCAATTATCTTTAAAAGTTTATAAATCTAAAGATTACCAAAAATTCAAATAATAATAACACAAAAAAAAACAGTGTTGAGAATTTAATGTAATGATCATGATCGGTAAATCGAAGATGACGCATACAAAAATTATCACTGTATATTTTGTATAGGTGCTTACTTTGGTAAAAAATATTGAGGATACTGATATGACAGTATATTTAAATATTTAGTGCCGGGTCGTTGTTGGTGTAATTCATTCCAAAGAGCAGAGGATATAAAGTCATAACAACATTTCGTTGGTAATGGATCAATAGGTGAAATTGTTGAGAACTTCATCGCAGTTTCTAGATTGTCAGTCCGTTTCTCTATCTAAAATAYAATATTGAAAACGTGAATTGTCCTTATTTGGTTTTAAATTAGGCGATAAGAATTATAGGTAAATCGATGTAGGCTAAGCGGACTTAGCTCGCGGTTTGTTTTATCTTTATAGGATGATAAATAGTCGTT